GTGACTTTCACTTCCAGTGCCGGGCGCTTGGCGAAGAAACAGTCACTACCTATGTTTAGGTCTTAGGTCTGACGCGCCGCGGCGAACGAGAATCAAACCCAGGCCTCCCGATCACGAAGCGAACGCCCTACCACTAGACTACAGTGACCGGTACAATGCGTATGAAAAATTCAGTCAACATTCGATTTAATGATAGAATCTTGTAACAATGCCATTGTATCAACCCTGGAATTTGCGAAATGTTGACATTAAATGGAACTGTTGATATCCTTGTATCATCAACTTATTTATCAATAACTTGCCTGGTTTTAGAAATCTTAGAAAGTGTTTGAAATTGTCCGATTGGCACTAATTGTGCTTCTTTATTATATATTCGAATTATTTTTATATTCCTAAGAAACAGAAACAAAAACTTCTACATGAGAAGGAAAAACACTTGCTATGGCCTTCAGCTCGACATTTAGTTATATCTACGACGTTTTATCAATGAACACTAGTTACTTCCATTCATATTTCGTTCCGTTTCTATATATCCCAGTGAACTTGAAATAAAAGACACCACAGAGTCTGCCACATCTGTTTCCCATTTGCATGTTTTACTGACTATAGACGATAAGGGTCAACTAACAACTAAACTGTATGACAAACGAGATGATTTCAGCTTTTCCATCGTCAATTTTCCTTATTTATGTAGTAATGTTCCGCTATCACCTGCATATTTACATCTCCCAACTTATTCGATACTCAAGATCATGCTCCGAGTACAATCAATTTTTAAACCGAGGCAGACTATTGACAGATAAGTTGATGCTACAGGGATTTCAACAACAGTGAACCTCGTTTAAAGTCAGCATTTCGTAAATTCTATGGTTGTTATATTGACCTTGCTAGCAAATATAACCTATCATTGGGTCGTATTCTGTCTGACGTGTTTAATACCAATTGTTAGGACTTTGTTTTTATACTAAATTTGACTACGGAATGTTCCTTCAATCTGATCAATAGATAGGGCTCACAGCGGGCGTGACCGGTCAACAGGGGATGCTTACTCCTCATAGGTACCTAAATCCACCTCGTGTTTTATGCCCTGTTCAGAGATGTGTATTGTATGTAGATTTTTTTAGATCGATCACTGTTCGTTATCTTCACCTTTTTCATTCGTACGTAGAGATGCTCTTGCGTATTGAATCAGCTGGGAGGCATATACTCCATATGCAGGTGATAATGGTATATTGCTACATAAATGAAAGAAGTTAACGATAGAAAAGTTGAAGTCTAATTTTCTAAAACATTTTGGAAGCACTAATTGTTGAATTTGTCCCTCTTGTGGGGTTGAAATCTGTCTTCTGGGTAATCCATTGCTTATTTCAATATAAGCCATTCGTATAATACACTTAGATGCTGAGCTCCATACTTTGGTTACTTCCTTTGAAGGTCTTACCCCCTTTTTGTACGAAAGGAATCATAGGCCCTTCTTCTGATCTTTGTTAAGGTAGAATTGTTAGAAGAAGGAAAGGTTCTTCCCTGAAGTAGCTCTTTTTCTTAAACTGGTGCACAAATGCTGTTACAGACAGTCTCACCGAACCTTACTGCTATCACAATGGTTTCAGGAGGATAACTTTCTGTAATCTGGCATATGTCGAGTGGCATGCGACTGAATTCATCTGATTCACTTTACATCGGGCTTGTATTGGATATGGAATCGGAAATCCACCAACATGGAAACTCACCTTAATCATGTAGCGTCTAGTAGCTTTGGGGCGGTGAAAATATATTGCATTTGGTTATAGATAATACTGTACACTTCAAAATGAGTAGCATAGTATAGGTAGTTTATCAATCGCTCTGTCACTGGCCATTTGAGTGCTAGGAATTCTAATTTTCCCGAGTGAAGATGGTAGTTTTGTTAAGCAGGTGTCAGTGTTCTAGACGCATTAGCAACTACAACCAACTTGTCATTATCCTGCTTCTGATAAAGAATAGCCCCCAAACCCATTTGTGATGCATCAATGTGGAGAGTATATGCTTTGTTAAAGCAATCGCTGGTGGATGAAGTAAAACATCAATGAGATCCTCCAAGATACGCTGATGCTCAGCCGTCCATGTAATCCGCAATAATGAACCTTCTGTCCTGATTTCCAGGACTTAGTTTTCTTCTACTTCTTTACCGATAAGGTGCGTTATTTTCATCTTTCAGCATGTCGTAGATGGGTTTTGCTGTAAGGGAGAAATTTGGGATATTACTCCTGTAATATCCGATAAAACCTATTACATTCCGCGCATCTCCAGCTATTTGAAATCTCTGATCCTTTAATTTCAAATTTTCAACACAGCCTCCTTGTCGTTTGGGTCTATATGACCCTATGTGGTGACTAGGTGACCCAATCAAAGGAGCTGTTTTTGAATGATGTGACATTTACTAAGTTTCACTTTCAATCCCTTCTCTTTCATACGATGCAACATACACTTTTCGTCATTCAAGTGAGATTCAATAGAGTTATTGTACACTAGAATATCTTCTAAATAGGGAGGCAACACTTATCTCTGAGGCCTTCAAGAGCTTCGTAAATGTACGCTTGGAATATTCCAAGAGCACTGTGAGTCAAAATGGAATGCGATTCTACTCATAGTATCCCCATAGAGTTACAAACGAAGTGTAATTCCTGCATTTCTCTTTCACAAAGCTTTGATGGTATGCTTTACTAAACCCAGCGACTTCCTCTCAAAAGAATCAAGTGCATCCTAAACTCGTGGAATTGGATGTTGGTTTTGGACAATTTTAGCATTTAACTTTCTATAATCAACACATAAACGGAGTGATCCATCTTTCTTCCTCACACAAACGATTGGACTAGAGTATGGAGAAGTTGATCCTCCCTCAATAACTCCTTGATTTTGACTTTGATTTTCTGATCTGGGGAAAGGAAAGTTTGAAAGATGAAGGGATGGATCCCACTTTTCACTGGTTTTAGTACTTACTGTCTGAACACCATTTGATCCTGTAGTTTCAAAGTTAATTGATGAACAAATCTTTTCAAGATGTCCTAAGGATGTACCTTTTAGATGGATTATACAGTGGATGGATTATACAATAAAAGCTTGACATATCTAGTGCGATTTGGCTTCACATTAATGAGCATTTCCTGTGATGCAATTCCATAGGGATCCAAGTCCTGAGATGGATTGCACAGAGCCTTAGTGCTATGCGGAATTTGTCTGCTCCTGAATGGTACTTTGACGACTACCGATGACTGCCTAGGTACAAAGATATTCCTGCGTCCTACTTTGACCATTCCAAGTGTTCCATCTCCTGTGTCCCTCAGTTCTCGTTAAAGGCCTTTGGCCTGAATCTCATCAGCAGCCGGTAGAGCATATTTTAATAAGTCAATTGTATAATTACTATATACAGTTTGTAATAGGTTTTGTATATTATATTACCCAAGAATTGCATAGTTCATTCCTATCAGATACATTGGTTATCAGAAAAGCCACCTGAATTGCACTGCCCTGTTCTAACAATTCAATGTAAATGTAATAAGACCTTCTATAGGTATATCTGAGCCACAGGCAGATACTAATGAACATTTCTCTGACTGTGAGAATTCTTCAACACCCTTTACACTTGCATATAATTCTGGACAATGATTCATGACCCATGATTTATTTAGAACTGAAACTTGGGTCTCTGTAGCTGCAATAATGTAGCCCTCTCCGATTTTTTTTAATATGATATTTTCAGGTGAGGGCTACAATTCCACTGCATCTCCGTAATGGTGCAAATATATTTTTTAGATACGGGCGAATGCAGGCAAAATAAATTGTTTTTGCATTCAACTTACTTCCAATAGGACGGAATTTTTATTCACTATCAACATCATAGCCCTTTATACGCGAAAACCAATTAAAATAAATCTGCGTGTTTACAAGTCGTTCTCTTCAGCAGCCATGACAGTTCTCGCGTGATGTACTGAGACTTGCGCTTGAAATTTAGAATCACTTGATAAAGTAAATGTCGGTGTTGATAAATGTTTCTGTTGTATGATATCACTAAACATCGATACATAAAAGCATTCCATGGGATATTTTTTTCATTAACAGTGATATTTATGCTTAAAATAAGGGAAATCCTATACGATCCGCTCCCCTAGATCCCGAATTCTCATTGGTTGTCCCAAAATAAAATCGATCAAGGTCAGTAAACATGGCGGATAAATGTAAGTTGTGATGTTGACATACACGAAAAATAACCGATATACCGATCGTTCTGTATATTTTTGGATCAATTCATGTCTTACATAACTACATTTTATGAGTTCAGGTAAGATATGTCAATAAAATAGCCACTTACTGATAATTTGAGCCGAAATGTTTGAAACACTCCCGCACTTGCACCCTTACGGAGATCCTAAGGAGTTGTAGCCCCCCCCCCCCCAAAAAAAAAAAAAAATCGGAGAGGGCTACATTATTGCAGCTAGGGTCTCTGTATCCCATGAAACTTTCACAGATTTCTCATTCAATAATACACCAACATTACAGGGCTTCCTGACTCTCTTTACAATGTTGGGCCCAATGTCATATACACCACCTATGATTTCATTTACAGAAAATTTGTTAGGTTGACATTCATTAAAAAAAATTTCGAGCTCATATATTTGACAGCATTACAATTTTTTTTATGTGCAAGCCAATGAACCTTTTCACAAATTACACTACAATATGTTGCTACATGACAATTTGTGCAAACTTTGATTGTGTCACTGGACAATTGACAATGCCGTGCAAAACAACTTTTTGGACAGTTCATTAGCTGGCCCGCCAAGAGGACCTTCTAAGACGACCCGCTGCGGTTTACCGACGGGTGAGGTTTTTTGTTTGGGCACTGTTGTCGACGATGACCAGATCCGCCACATATCCAGCACTGGTCGCAACGTTTGCAAATGGACAGTCAGTCGGAACATCCAAGTCTGCTCCTTGAATTGTTGGTTAAGTCCTCGTATTACTTTGGGAATGCCCCAAGAATTCCTTCCATTTGATCATCTCCAGCCTGAGAGATTTAATTTTACTCACAGGGTAATTTTTCATTGCCTCCTTCATTGAGTCGATCTGCAAGAAAATAGAGCTACATGTAATTTGAGACACAGGCTGTTTAGACCGCAGTTTGTTCTGCCTTTCACTCTCTTGGATAATAATTTGATAATAATAAGCATTGAATCTGATATTGTCACATTATAAACATGTTTCCTCATCTCATTACAAAGTGTTATATTTCCTAACCCAGTGTACATTGTCTTTCTGAAGAGACCGGCAACCAGTTCTGGCTTTGATAACATCATCAATGCTGCCATCTTCCGAATACCCTTTTTGTTCAGTTTCAATTTGTCGAATTGGGCTTGTGTACGCTATTCCTGCCTTACAATCGATCTGCCCACTGATTTTTGAAGTCCTTATGTAGGTTTTCAGCTGTGGGATTATCTTTTTTGTCATCCAGTTTCTTTTCTAGTTTCTCTTCAGCTATCTCAGGAGACTTAATGCATCAGCTAAGGTATATTTTACAGAAAGCAATGTTGTTCCCGCTTGTCCGCCCTCCATTTCCTTCATTAAGAACTATCTGATTGCATAGCCACCACTAGTTGACCGTTGGAAGTATCCAACGAATCCTGGAATTCCTAAAGAATTTCTTTCAATACGTCCAGTGGTTTCATCATCAGCTTTGATCTCATCTCGAACAACATCTCCTTTGCCAGGATCATGTCCCGGACAACCCCTTAAATGTTACCCTGGCCTGATATTATACAGAAAATTTGAGAAAATATTAGCGTCAAATCTGTGTCTAAGCCCCTTTAAACGTAACCACGATCTTTGAGCTGGTCTGCCATTTTCAGAATTTAGCAAATTAAATGTTATATTTTTGCGTGTCCTCACAATATCCACCAGAGAATTCTTTTAATTTCATATTGACAGCGCTGTAATATACCATATACAAATTTGAATTTCCAGAGAGAGAGAGAGAGAGAGAGAGAGAGAGAGAGAGAGGCTGATGCCGATCGGTATCCCCGTCTCCTATTAATATTTATTATGTGACCTAAAAACCACTCCAGGTACATGACAAATTCCGGACGGCGACACTAATGTATCGTTGCTTAAAATTTGATTCATGGCACCGAGGCATTGCTTTTGCACAAATATTTTGGATTCACTTCATTTACAGCTTGGTAGAGGGTTCGCAAAAAGAGGCAAAATAGGGTGTTAAGTCCACTCATTCTTTTAATCGTTCGTCACAATACTTTTTCTGCACTAGTTACATTAACATTAACTTAACACATTCCAATTAAAAGTAAGACTTGCTTATTTTTAAGTTGCTGAAATCGTAACCGATCAAGAATGAAGAGAAACTTATAAATCTGACAAACTTACAAAATAAAATATCATTTAATTAAAAATAATATTTCCACCTCGTAAAGAATCGAGGTTAACTGCAGGTAAATATGTAAGAATAAAAAGGATATGGTGGAATAAAGTTCAGGCAATTGTCATTTAAATACAGTCATGTAATATATATATATATATATATATATATATATATATATATATATATATATATATATATATATATATATATATATATATATATATATATATATATATATATATAGGCATCCATATTTACATTAAACCAGACTTTTAAGATTTCGTTGTAACTTACAAAGAAAGTGTTTAACGACCTCCTCCTGCATGTTAAGGAAAGGAAATATCTTACATGTTAGTATATTTATGTTCACACACATCCTGGTATTCGTTGGTTGTCTAGCGTTTGATGATTGATAAATAGCTGCATTTTCACTAGATATTCAACACAGCCCCACCCTAGCACCAGAAACCCTGACCCTGGGCCCAAGAATTTCGCAATTTTGGTAGACGGCTCAATGCTTATTACAATCATGCCAACAGTTTGACTGCTTGATGTCCAGGAGTAAAGACAGCATTAAGTTTAGTGGTTTTGGCCCCACCCCTCAGGCCCCAGGGGAAAGGAACCATGAAATTCGCAGTTTTTGTTCCCCTTCACCCATAGATGCTATATGCCAAAATTGGTTTAGACTGGTTGAGCAGTTTCAGAGAAGAAGCTGAAAATGTTCAAATGTTAACGCACGACGACAGACGAAAACAGATAGCAGTAGGTCATCTGAGTAAACTCAGGTGACCTAAAAAGCTTTTTGTCTTCGCCTGTTTATTTGGCAAACAAACTAAGTGAATGGTAATGATGAGCAAGGATGACCTTCCAAAACTGAAAATTTCTTGGCCCCAGGGTCAGGGATTCTGTTGTTAGGGTGGAGTTGTATTGATAATATGAAAATGTATTTATTCTTTGAAAATTTCCTTCTCCGCTCCCGGGTAGTTAGCAGATAAACTAAGTGCATGGTTATGATAAGCAAGGATGCTTCTACCAAAATTATGAAATTCGTTGCCTCTGGGTCAGGGGTGTTCCATATTAATTATATAGTGAAAATGCATAAATTCTTTGAAAATCTCTCTACCCCTGGTTATTAAGCAAATAAAGTATAAAGACGAATATAGACTCCCGTAGATAAATGACTGGAGCTTATTTTTCAACGTCGAAAAAATGTCTTCCGGTCATTATTCAAGGTCGAAAAATGACCTTTTTGCCTGTGGAAAAAGTGGCATCACCTTTAAAATCTGCATACCCTAAGTGAAGGAAATGACTCCCGTAGAATAGTGATCCCTTGTAGATTTTAACAGGAATATACTCATCTGTTTGGTTAAGAAATTAAGAATAATAAATCAAGAGGCTCGTGGGCCAGAATGCTCACGTGAGGTAAATTGAGGATACAACGATAATTTGTTGGTCTCATTAAATCTATGATATATTAACAACATTAATCGACTTCGATCTACACTGTCTGAAAATGCTTCCATATTGATTTGACAAATGTATCATAATGCTTTAAAGATTATTTTTAAAATTTTCCCTTACATATTCCAGAAAGAGAGAGAGAGAGAGAGAGAGAGAGAGAATAGTTTGTATAGTCTATCTCCCGGTTCATCAAGTTGCGTCTGAGTGCATGTTTTTTTAAAAAGGTTTTAACGGTGCACATACATTTTATTTCCGGACATATAGCAAACGTATCTTACAGTCTGAAAAAGAGGATATACGTGATGTTTTAGAGACCTGAAATTTTCATTAAAACCGAAAGAACAACCGTTGATTAACTATCCAGTGTAAAAAGAAGTTGAACTTCAATGAAACCCCGGGATCCGCAAAGGAATGGAGTCAATTACCCAATAGCCACTGTGAAGTATCTATCCTGCGATTTACATAACTGTGTGCTGAGAACACAATAGGTCTAATAGACAGAAACACCTGTAATGGTGTTATGTTATATTTTAATTGCGTGTTCTTTCAGTGTTCGTCAGAAAACGTAAGACAATTAAACGTTGAGACCCAAACCCTTACATCAATAACCTTTTAAACATTGTATCGTTGTTGGGATGCAGGCCCGTAGAACGCAGGGGGAGGGGGGGCAGGGGGCCTCCCACTTTTTTCTGAGGTATAGTAAAATTTCCTTTAGATGCTGGTTGCCCCCCCCCCCCCCTTTTTGATGTTGTAAGGTCAAGCACTGGCAAATTCCAGGATTTGGACAGTAAATTAGCTTTTTTTTTGCTTGTCAAATAATTCTGGAAAGCTGCCCCCCTTTTGTCAGTTTGCGTTTTTTTTAGCTTTGCAGAATTTTATGGAAGTGCCTCCCCCCTTTGAAACCGTTGCAACGGGCCTGGGATGGATGTCATTTTCCAACGGGGATCAATTTCTTATAGGTTGTACATGTAGAAAAGAGAGCCCTAGGGTTCTTTTTCTGCAAAAATTACATTTTTCTAAGACGGGGGAGTCATTTTTCGACTTTGAAAAATAACTCCCGGTTATTTTGGGGTCATTATTTGTCTTTATACAAAGTAAGTGCATGATTATGAAGGGCATGATTTAATAAGCATTGAGCTTATTGGGTTCTCTCAAAATTGTAAAAGGCATGGCCCCTGGATTAGGGGTTTTGGTGTTACAGCGGGGCTCTATTGATTATATAGCGAAAAGCAATAATTCTTTGAAAATCTTATGCTCTGCTCCTTGGAATCTAGGAGGCAAACAGTACAAAGTTTTAATGAGCAATGGATTTTATACCAGATTTGAAAAAAATCTGGACCACTAGGTCAAGTGTTCTTGCGTGGGCAGGGCTCTTCTAATTTGTACTGATTTGTTCTACTGAGAGAAGCTATTCTCCTTTGCTATTTACTTATGATAATTAATTATTGTAAATAATGTAATTGAAATATGCTGTTGTGATTGTCAAATTTTACACCTGGACTTTTGTTTATGGGAACTTGAGTCATATTTATTAAAACAAACTTGTATTATTATAAAATCCGGATTCTAATAAATAAGACATTGAAGGTTGACTGGGGACATAATTTTTATGAATGAACTGTCGCATAAAAATTAAAAAAAATGTCCCGATTACACTTTTTAACTTCCGTGATTTCCTTTCGTAGTGTGTACATTCGCCGTTACACGCACAATGAACCTCCGGTGAATACGACCTTAAACCCAGTGAATATGTTTAAGCATTGAATTATTAATTTTTTTTAATAGATGTAGTCACATAATAAAGTTGATTTGTTGCACACAAGTTGCAGTTATGAGACTATATCTTTCAACAAATAATAACCAATGCTTATATTTACATTGTTAAAATACTTTTCAAGAAAAATGTTTTACCATACACGTGAGACACCCACTATTGTTTAAAATATACAGTTTACATGTACGTGAGAATTAAAAAAAATGCCGGGAACAAATTTTCCTTATTTAGAGAAATAGTGCATATAAGGAACGTTACATAATAAAGATACTTCCTTAAGAGAAACCAACAGATTCATATATGTACGCTTAATTTCAAGGTTATACGTTTGTTTTTTTATTTGAATCATTTATATTGATACATTATAGTGCATTTCCATCTTTAAATATTTTAGAGATTTCCAGATTTATATTTTTCAGAATGTGAACACAGCAACATGCTCACAATGTACTTGTTTATCGTCCTTGTCCTAACAAAAGGTAAGAACTGAATTTATATTTAAACCGTCAGTTTTGGTTGGGACATTTGAAAAGCTTAATAATTTTTCTAGGAGAATATTTTTAAAGAAATCAAATACAGACCATACACTTATTCATTTAGAAAAGAAGTATTTTTAGTTCATCTGTATATATTTTGAACGTAGTATGTACATGGTTAAAGAGGAACGTTATTGTCGTCCCATTGGGGGGGAGGGGGGGGGGCTTGAACATTAATAATAATCTTCAAAATGATCTTTAATCCCAAACCTCTGGCCGGCAACAAACATTTGCATAATTAAAATAAGCAATGACACTATGTGCAATAGGAAAATTCCTAACCTGTTGTTTTCAAATTAATGGC